CTCTCTCTCTCTCTCTCTCTCTCTCTCTCTCACACACACACACACACACACTCTCTCTCTCTCTCTCTCTCTCTCTCTCTCTCTCTCTCTCTCTCACACACACACACACAGAGACGACTGACAGGCCGTACCGTATGGAACCCACGTCAACGTCTCACAAAGGCAGGCACACGCTCGCGACGCATGCACAGACCCTACTGAGCCCGCTGTTGAATCTCTCGGCAGCCTCCTCCCCAGCAGGCCGATGGCGCTGCGCTGTTCAGCGCTGGCACAGCACACTGGGCGGCGCGTTCTCCTCCACGTCTGGGAACGTCTGGGAATGCGCTATGCGCTCCGCCTGGCGTTCCGCGTTCCTCGTTCCGCTCTGTGCAATCCGCACGTAGTACGGGCGAAGGTCGTTCGATCGAACTCCATGCTGGTCGTGGACGAACTCAGATCCAGCGCCTACCGGTCGTAGGCGAAGGACCAACAACGTCTAGACAGAGAACGACGAAGCAATCCCTCGACGCCAAATGGCCCGCCTCTGAACATATGTTTGCGCGGGACGGATGCGATGTTTGCGCGAGATGGATGCCATGCATGCCTGTGTGTGTCCGACGCGGCACGGCGCGGCGCGGCTGCGAGCGCGGGCGCGCCCCCGGGGGCCAAGGCGGCTATCGAGATCATCATGACGTGAGGCGACAATGCCGCACGTATCTCGGTCGAGCAATCGCATCGGATTTTGCCTGTTTTCTTAAAAAAGAAAACATGGGTGCTCAAAATGGGAGGGAATCGTGTTTTTTCTTTCAGCATAGTAAAAAAAGGGAGGAAATTTGCCTTGTTTCAGAAAAAAACAAAAATCGTGTTTTATTTTTAATTTCAAAAAAAAAAAAATGAAATCGTGTTTTCTAGCGGGGGGCTGAGGGAGGGGCCTGATGGGGGCAGGGGGGGGGTAAGAGGGCAAGGAAGAGGAAAAACAGACTGCTCATTTGGGGGTTGAGGTAAGAGGTGAGGTGGGGGGTGAGGTGGGGGGTGAGGTGGGGGGTGAGGTGGGGGGTCAGGCTCGTCCTCGCTCGTCCTGAAAGCAGCAGAGGCCTGGCACGCAGGAGACGTGCCCGGCCTCGCTGCACTACCCACAAAATGTGCAAAATGAGAATGAATGATTTTATCTTTTTTGCATGTGGTGAGTAGTTCAAACAAATAATTCCACCGGCAGTCCATCTAGCCCGGGGCCCAAGTCCCACTAGCAGCGTTGAGCTACCTCAACGCCTGAATCTCGACGTGTTTGAGGAGAGGTGCAGTTCACTTTGGCCCGGGGACACTTTCCTTTGGCCATCTGCTTTGCAGCTTGATATAGCTCCTGTGAGGAGAAGGGGGCGTCTAGGGCAAGATTACCCGACCGTGAGATTTTTACCTTTTTTCTTTCAATAAAAATATCCTCTTCGACCTGACAGGAGGTAATTCGGATTTATTTATTTGATACTGTTCGTCTGATTGCATCTGGATTTGAACTTCATTTTTTTATTTTTTTATTTTTCTTTCATTTTTTTCGACATGATACCTACTGGGCTGGCTCCTTCAGTTTATACGTTGACATGACACTTCATTGATTGTACGAAATGAGCTACTGTGGGCCAGTTGGTGACAGGCCCCGGGCCCGTGGTCCCATTAGCAAAGACCATCGGATTGAATGCCTGAATCTGGACGTGTTTAAGGACAGGAGCAGGAAATCGAGACAGAACTGCTTTTCGGTATCTCTGCATAAAACATAGCCAGATTCAGGATTTCTATCCTATCCCCTTCGCTACAGTCTTCCCCCGAATACAACGTACGGTCATTATAGCTGAATTTAGACTGCAAATTCAGCTATAACGACCGTGCCTTGTATTCGGGGGAAGACTGTAGTGGGACCACGGCCCGGGGGCGAGGTCCCACTAGCAACGGGATAGGATAGAAACGAGTTTGTGGGACAGTTGAGTGACCCAAATCCTGCCGTGCAGTACTCGTGATCCCACGGTCAGTATTTTACTTGTATTTTATTACCCGAAAAAGTAAGGAGATCTTCGTTCCCCTCCTCCTCTCACTGGGCATGCCCGTGCAAAGAAAGCTTCCTGCCAGAATCTTTTTTTTTTTTTTTTGGAAGAATCAATCTTTCACAGACCTGAGGCCGGGAATCCTCACAAACAACCCCGGACGGAACTGTGTGCTGGAAACCGGGTCCAGCGTCCCAATACCTAACCATAAACCTGGGGCAAGGTCCCACTTGCACGGATTAAGAGATGCTGGCCGTTGATCTCTGCTATCCACGGTCAATATCGCTTAATTCGTGTAAGTGGGACCTAGCCCCTGACCTTCCAAAATGGACTTGAAGCTCATGAAAAAGGGAGAAGGGTTAGAATCAGCTACTCATCAAACTGTGGTGTCATACTACCAATCTGCTTCCATCCAGTTTATCAAACAAACCAACCAAAATCCTGGGGCTCCAAGTCTCCAACTCTCAAAGTTTTAAAGCTCAATCCTTTAGTCCTTCCAGTGCAATTTCCAGGAGGCCAATCTTCTCTCGCGCCCAGCGCCTATTACGACACTCTGAGACAACTTAGGTAATCCCTAATACGGGGTCAACTTTATACCCATTCGCGACGGCAGCACCTAAGCGCGGTCTGTTCCCAACCCATGACCTGCTAGGGTCAACTCTCAAGGTGGTTTCAACCACCCAATCAAGCCTAATTTCCTTTCTTATGTCACTGTGACCGAACAATTATCCTTGGACCATGTCTTCAAAAAAACAAAAGTATCCTTTTTTCTTACTTCTAAAGGACCGCTGCCAGTCTGCTCCTGCCATTTGTCTGATGTTGAGGCAGCCCTGTCTCTTTCGTTCTTGTATGGAGGTCTTTTTCCCTGTCAATACCAGCAGTTTCTTGCCCTCCAGATCTCCTGGAAGATAATCCCCCTGCATACTAATGCTACATAACCCCACCCAGAGGGATTATCTGCTGGGAGCTGGCCGTATAGTATCCAATTGTCAGACCAAGGCCACGTCCCCCCTGTAGCTTGATCCCATAGGCAAATCCACCACATCCAGAGTTCATCCGCCAGAGGGCAGAACAACCATAAGTGGGCATTTGATTCCCAGCCCCACTGGCATCTTTTGCAAGTGACTGTGACCGCGCGGGGCGCGGGGGCGCAGCCAGGGTGGAGGAGATTGCAGTAGCAGAATTTGAGTTTAGGCACATGAAAACACGAGCTAAGAAACAGTTCGGAAATTCTGATGCCAAAAGAGTCCCACATGACTGAATGGGGTTTGACTGACGGGGAGGAGGGGCAAATAGAAGAGAGGGCGGGGGGTGGGAGAAAGGAAACCTGGCTGGCGGCCACCGCAGAAACCGCTATACACCTACCTATCAAATCCATTCCTCCAGAACATGTCTCCAAATAGCAAAGAAAAGCAAACATAGTTACGGAGCACAGAACCTCCATGCAAAGAGCACGAATCTCCATGCCAAGCAGAAACCGTCCTTGCCTAAGACCGGTCACCTCACAACCTCAACCCATACTTGAATCATTCGTCGACTACACCCTCATTTTCGCTGCATGTGAACTGAAACATAGCTTGTATCCATTCATTATTGGTATCGATATCGAGGTGCATTATGCTCGGGGGAAGACCATTCAACTCAGAAGGCACATAAATGAGATTGAGTAGGTCAGCCCACCATTTTTTTTATTTTTTTTTTAAATTAAAAATCGCTCCAT